AATATTGTATGTACATATAATTTAATTGACATAATATTGGGAAATGGCATTTTAGTAGGTATCCTCTAACATGGTTCCCAGTGAACCACATCATCTGGAATCCAGTCTTATGTAGTTGCCTACTACACTGTACCAGGATGGGTCTTTGTGACCAACAACAAATGAGAAGGTATATCACTCACTTCTGAGATTGGTTATGAAAGGCACTGTAGCTTTTTTTTTGTCAGGTATCTCTCATCCCTTGCTTTGAGGGAAGGCAGCTGCCATGTTGGGAGTGACCCCACAGCATTATATGAGAAGCTGAGGCCTCTGCCAACAGCCTCATAAGTGAGCTTGGAATAAGTATTCTAGCCAGCCTAGGAAGCCGTTCTTCAATTCCTGGGGGGCCCAGCTAACAAACAGCTTGACAAATTCATGAAAGACTCAGGAAGACAGAATGCAAGAGCATCAGAATAATGCAGGGAAGTCAATTCTGTATTGTTGATGTTTTAAAACTGGGTGGAAAAAATTTATTATGTAGAACTAGGGAATTAATATAAGTATGATTATTGATCACAGTAAATTCAATCTTTTGATAGAAAGTTAAAAGAGTACAATGGAAGCAAGTATCAGCTATGTCTAATTTGCAATTATAAGTTAGTTTTACCAATAAACATGATAACTCTCAAAATATTTTTATTTATTACATAACATACTTTAATATAGAATCATATGAAAATATTATCGTAAATTTGTATTAGTATACAACTTTAAGGGGAAGATAAGAAGTTGAGCGAAAAAATGATCAAATAATGAGATAATTTTATTACAGCACCCTAAAGATAATGAATACTTTGTCATTAAGAATGCTGTAACTTTCTAAGGAGAAAATAGAAAAAATGTTCCTAGAATATACTGATATATTTTATGCAAGTATGTCTACAGATTTACATATATTTATGGCAAGTGAGCATGCCTGTGTTCATGCATGCCAGCACACACACAAACACACAGAGACACATACATTTGTTAGTTCTATGACACACTGGCTCTGTCAATGCCAATGCTGTATAAGTCTGTCCAAACCAGGTAAAATGCTCTTCTCTGGCATCAGAACTCAAGTAGATGACAAAGTATTAATAGATGTGTGGATGGACTCGTAAATGGTAAATGGCTAGGAATACTCTGTGAGGACCATATGCACCTGGACATTCTGAAGACAGCATTGACAGTTATTCTCTTGCTGGAGGCTTATCTTTCATCAGACTTAATGATTCGATCTCTGGAAAGATAGTGACAGATGCCAGTTTCTGGGAAGGGATCATCTGTATGCCAACCATCATCTCTTTGGGTGTTCTGGGAGGGTGATTTCAGTCATTATTCTTTTTAAGCAGAAGTGAGTGAGGCAATAACGTGAGTTAATTGTTATTTCTTTAGCCTCCAGACTATCATCCACCTACAAATAAACCCCTCCCCTCTCAATAGCTAACATAGGCTGTGTGGCCTCAAAATTTTGGTTGGGGGTAGTGGAAGGATAAAAATTAAAACAAAACAAAACCTAAATAGTTCTAAGAAGGACCTCGGTAGATGTTCACTTGTGTAGACTTTATTTACTGGGCAGTATCACCTAACTCATAGTGGCTCAGAGCCATGAAGAAACTGCCACCAAATGTCAAACTTTACATATATCAGCTCATTCATTCTGGACAGGAACCCTAGGAAGTGCTAATATACTTTATATTTTATAAATGTGGAAATTAAACCCTAGAGATGTTAAATAAACATGCCCAAGGTCATTCAGCTATTTTGTGGAAACACCAGCATTTGCATCCAAGTTCTTGGAGTCCAAGGCCCATGCTCCTCATTTTCTTAAACCAATGGCTATCCTGTAATCAAATCCACCCCCATCAGAACTTGCATACTTGACTCACCACAATTCCTGCAGACCCATGCTCAAAGACTATTTATAAGCAATTCAAATTAGATTACTCTCTTCTCCAAATAAGAAATTCCTGGAGAAGAGGGTGACTGTGTAGAGGGAAAAAATATGGGGGTGAAGGGAGTGATAGGCACATGGAGAGCAGTGAGAGATGACAGATTTGTCTCTACTCTAGCACATACAGCTCAATGTCCCCTGCAGAATTCACTGTCTATATAAGGATGAATGTTCATATTGATGGTGTTCAGTGGGCTCTGTACAAGAAGGCAGGGAAGTATGTGGCACATATCAAAGTAAGACTTTGTTCAAGAACAGTTTAGATAAGTCTTGGTGCTTGAATGAGGTTAAATTCTAATGACAAAAACAAAACACAACTCAAAACAAGCACCCTACTCCTCCATGAGGAGGGGAAAGATGCACCGAGATATTAGATTTTCTTATTTTCCCTCTTTGACCTTTCTAATCTCCAGAAGATCACTACTTATTTTTAAAATCAAAATTCTATTTTGCTATTTTAAATTGGATATAGAGCTGTACCTACATTGAGATCTGTTTAAAATGTCTTTCTTTTCACATGTTAACACACAACCTTAAAATAAGGAGGGGGAGGTGGTGCAGCCTGAGTATGTGTGTAGGGGGTGCCTTTGGACCCACACAAMCCTGGTTCTGTACCTTGGCTCTGCAATTTTATTGTGCATGACCTTGACAAATTTAGCCTGTTTAACAGTTTCTTCAGCTGTAATGGTGAGATAATGATACCCACCATCGCCCTTTGGAAAACAAATTTATTTTATGTTTTTAATGCTTTCCTCATACATCAAGATTAAGATTAAGGTTAAGGAAGAGACCTGATGGGCTTCCAGAATGCATCCTTTGGGGTATTTTTCTGAGTGGAGCAAAGGGGACTGGGTAAATGTGGCTTCTTTTCCTATTTGTTCCACAAGAATTGAGTTAGATCTCAGGGCAGCTGAAGAGTTTGCTGACCCTTCTTTTTTTGTCTCTTCTCCTTGGGTGCTAGTCTTCCCCTGGTACTAGTAATTCAGCCCAAGGCTGTAAGGACCAGTAGCTATGTCAACTGGGTACCAGTGGGGAGCCAAACTGACTCTCTGGCTATCCATCTCTTGCTTCCCCCTTTTCTTTGTTATGGGCAATCGTGTTCTTAGTATCTGTCTCTCATACAGCGCTAGTTAGACTCTCATATTTGGTTTTGGGTTAGGATGTACTGACAGGCAGCTAAGCTTAGGCACAGGAGTTCCATATGGGGTCTGGACTCATTTATTAACACGTTTCAAGAGACTCTGAAAGCAGAACTCCAGTTAATAATGCTTGCTTGCTTTCCTTCCTTTGATCATACATTCATTTGGGGATCTTCTAGAGCACAACATGGCAAGATATAGTTCACCACCCTCATCATACCATCAATAAGTCAAGTGACATCTGTTTAGATATCGTTAAAAGGATTAAGTGACACAACACATGGAAAGCAACATCTATGTCTGGCAATTGAACATCAGCTAGTGCTCAATGAAAATTTGACTGTGTTGTTTTATTTTCCTGATGTCCCTACAGGATACTAAACATGACTAATCCAGCACATCAGAGGGCAAGTTTCTTTACAGAAGAGGTCTGATCTGGAAGTGAATAGTGTGGTGCTAAATGTAATATGCACATGGAATTCCTGGGTTCTCTGCTCCAAAATCCTTCTCCTTCATACTTTTCCTTTATTTATCACTACAGACTATAAGGAAAGCACACCATGAAAACACTTTGCCAGGTTTATCCTTAGTTTTTCCTCAAATTTTTTTCAAATATGAAGGTTTTGAATTCTCAGTCTTTATAATAGTGATCTGATTTCTCAGTTTTTTTTTCCACCAAAAATTCTCCATATTGCAAAATGATGATGACTACTTACTGTGCATCTGTTGTGCTCACAGTTGTATGCTAGGTACTTCAACAACTCTATAAAGTTGATAGTTTCCCCTTACTTTATTGATTGGAAAACTGAGGCTAAGAGAAATGTGACATCACAGGGCTTCAAAGTATTTGCACATTTGAAGGGATAGCAAGGACATGTCTTCCTTTTCCTTTAAAAATGTATACCATGAATAATTTACCAAAAGAATAAACAGGGAGTTTCTTGGGCTCTCAGGAGTCTATTGAGATTCCCTTTTGTGCTCTCATAACACCAATTCTGACATGAAAGGATTTACTCAGAACACAAAGGAAGTATATCAGACCGCTCTGCCCAGAGTAAAACTAACCAGTTCAGCAGCTAGACAATGTAATTTTGTCCAGGTTTTTAAGGCCTCTAGCAGACAGTCTAGTACAGTACAAAAGATCTTGGATCAGAAGACTTTGACTCTAGTTCTGGCTTGGTTATGTCATAGCTGTGGATTTTTTGGCAGCAATTTAAGGGTTATTTTCTTCATCTTTAAAATAAGGAAAATGATAAGATATGCACAACTCAAAGAGTTGTTCTGAATCCAGTGGAATTGGGTTTGTTCATATACTGTCCTATTTATCTCTTAAGTTACATATTGTCTGTCTGTCCTCATTATTATGTAAATTCCAAGGCATCTGCGAACCAGTCTGTACATTTTACCTATGTGTCTCCAAGGCATGGAACAGCCTGGTAAACAGCAAATTCTCAAAAAAATATTTGCAGAATGAATGGTCTGGGTACATTGTAAAGCACTGAAAAATGTTGATTGTTATGGGTATTTTTGTGAAGAAGTTTTAAGACATATAAAATGGATTTTTTTCATTAGATATTAACTTTTCATAAATATTAACACTACTACCCAGCAAGTAAATTTAGGTAGCCACCATTTAAGTTCAAATAATGTTTCTGTTCCAACATTTTGATGTCTCCCTTGAAATTATTACTAGGGATTTTCCCCCCAAGTGACATCTGATATTAGCATTTAAATCACATGAAATGAAAATGGTGAGGCTTCATTTCTTGTTTCTAATTTTTGTAACCTCCAAGAGGATTTCTTGGTTTTGCTGATTATTCTGCAACTTCCAGGTTCTCTCCAGATGTGAGGAAAATTGCTTACTTGGTTGAGAGGCTTGTACTTACTTGATGAAGTACTTGATTCCATCTGCTGTGTAAGCTTCCTCCCACCCATAAGGTAAGGCTAGAGTGAAAGGAAACCAAAAATACATTTAATAAGATGATGAAGATAACTTTATTTCCTGGACACAAACCTCCCCCATCTTGACAATTATTTGAGTACATTTCTTGTACAAAATAATTTCCTAAAAAGGGGGAATTAAGACAATTCAGATCAGATTTTATACTCAGCATCTTTAGTACACAATAAATAAGTCTTGAACAGTTAACAATCTGCTTTAGTTGCAATAACTGGATTATGACTTGTCATTTACATGTAGTGAGCATTTTTGTCAGCAAGATTCAAGCAAAAATTTGTGTTGCAGTAGATGGTTTGTGCCTGGGGGGCAGAGAGATGGACAAGATGGCTGAAGCTTGTCTACTCTGGCTCAAAGTTTCTTTAATTGGCTCTCTTTACATTATTTCACTCAGCTCCACAGGGAATCATACATGAATGCCAGATCAGCAGGGGGTTGAAAGTAGCTTTTGGGCAAGACAAAATTCCATATTAAGTTTGGAACTTTAGCAAAGTGATTTACAATGAATTGTGGCATTTTACTTAGTTAATTAAAAATTTTGTGCACTAAACATAAATGGCCAAACAATTTGCTAAACTTAGCTTCTATTTCTGTAATGGGAGCGAGAATAATTAGCTAAAATGAGATGTAGAATGAACTAAGCAAGCAATATGTGGCCCTATTCTAAAAGTGAGTATATTTTTGCCCTCATCATACCAAGAGGACAGTCCCATGTTGAGGCAGGCATTTTCTCTTTTGTTTCAATTTGGGGTGGTAACCTTGTAGAATACAATGGCTAACACCCTTCACTCCATCCTGAATATTACTAAGGATTTTAACTAATTTATTGGATCAGCAATTTGACAACAGTTTACCACTCCTTTTATGAGTATAGTATACATTAACACACTAAAGAAAAGACTCCATTGCTTAGGTAGCCTATGTTTTCAGAAAGTAATTGAGTTTGAACAACAAATTCTTGACTTCCTTTCTTCCAAGTAACAGTAAGAGGCAGAGTGAAAGTGAGCAATTTAACTATCCGAATGAAACAAAACTCTACTACATCACCTTCTCAAATACTCATCACTTTCAAATACTCTTTGAGAAGGGCACTAAGGATATTGTACTTGTAAGTAAGAAAAACAAACAAAAATGCCTTATTTATATTTATTTCCAGTCTTTTAATACAAGTTACATAAAATAAGACCATGGGCAAAAATTCTATAACTTCTTACTTCAAGTATTAACACAGGCTACTTTGGAGTTTCCATTCCCTCTTCTTGTATAAATATTCCTATTCTGAGTAGAAAATAAGCACTTCTGAGAGCTCAGCATTAGGAAATGACTGGCTACTTAAAAGCCCCTGAGGTGATCCTCCATTTGCATGTCCTCTAGCATGTGCTCAGGCAGGACAGACTGCTGCTCCTGTACCAGTTCAATCAGATTTATTTTCTGTCTTAACACTTTCTGCATCTTTTTTTTTTTTTTTTAATAGCTCATTCCTCATGGACAAGCTCCTTGCCTAAGGGGAAGAATCTGATGATAGTACATAGAATTTTCCTTTCATGACAGTAATGGTCAGAAATACAGGACTTCTGATTATAAAGGTTAAGTAGGAAGATATTCTAATGTGTCTAAGGTTTTTGTCTGCCAAATGACTTGTTTGATCAGCACAAGTTCTAATTCCTTTTTTTKGGGGGGTGGGTATCGGGGATTGCACTCAGGGGCACTCGATGACTGAGCCACATCCCCAGCCTATTTTGTATTTTATTTACAGACAGGGTCTCATAAGCAACGCACTTATGCTGGGGCTGACTTTGAACTTGCAATCCTCCTGCATCAACCTTTGGAGCCACTGGGATTACAGGCGTGCACCACCATGCCTAGCTGTTCTAATTTCTTAAGTCACAGATTTTTTTTTTTTTAATGAAAAGGCAAAAAAAAAAAAAATCGACTTTAAGATAGTATCTTTTATTCATAAGATCCTATGAAAATTGAGATTGATACTAGAATACCATATCTCCTGTGCTGTCGAAGAGAGTTCCTCCCTTGATCATTTCCTTCCTATTATTAAATAAGAATTCTAATTTCAGAACAGACTTGTAAATGTACTAATACACAAGTATTTAAGTCAAAATGGTTATTCAATGACTGCTGCCATAAAGATATCAGTATGTAGAGCTTATTTTCTCTGCTCTGAGAAAAMAAATTGTTTCCTTTAAGAAAATTGGTTTCTTAGTTTTCATACAGTTAACATAATCTATAAAAAACAGACTTGGAGACTAAACTGATAGTAATTAATCTCTCAGTGATATTACAGTAAAAAAATCACTGTTCAATTGTAAACTGGAAAATACAAACAGCCTACTTTATATAAAAGAACACTTCTGATTTTCACAAGCTTATATGATTATGATGAACTCCATTTTCCATTAAGAAAGGCTTTCATTTCTTCACAATAAGTGATTTGGATGCAATTATAACACTGTATAAATGTTTTGCAATAATCATTATTGTCTCAAATATGGAAGTATTTCTATACTCACACAATCTTTATATACTTGCACATATAAAATGCTTCTATTTTTCCCATTTCATGTTTACTTTAAAACTATTATGACAACTAAAAACCACCTGAAATTTTTTTCTGATTAGAAGTGTTTGTTTGTGGACCCTCACATAACATTCTTCCCATCAGAGATCATCTGTTTTCAATGAAAAACTTCATGGTGATGACTCCAAAATCTGCATGAATATTTTGCCAGAGTACAAGTTTTGAATACACTGAATTTAGAATACTGGCTGTCACCTAAAATTCAACCTATCCAAAGTCAAACTCATCATGTTTCCATACAAAGTGATTTCTTTTCCAATTTCCCAGTCTATTTATGTACCAAAGATTCTCTGTGTTATATTTGGCCCATATATTCATTCATTAAATATTTATTATTTATTAAGTGTTAGACATTTTTGCCTTGGTACTTGGTATACAAATGATGAACAAATAGACATGGCTCTTGATCTTACAGAGTTTTCAAAATAATCATAAATAAAGACATCATTAAAAATACATGTAAGGGCTGGGGATGTAGCTCAGTGGTAGAGCTCTTGCCCAGCGTGTGTGAGGCCCTTTGATCCCCAGTGTCACACACACACACAAAAAAAAAAAGAAAGAAAGAAAGAAAGAAAGAAAGAAAGAAAGAAAGAAAGAAAATTTACATGAAGTTAAAGTGTAGAACACTATTATAAAAAAGCTACTCATAACACAAAGGCTAAACTCCCTGGTACACGATAAAGAACTCCAACAAATCAATCAGAAAAAGATCAACGAACAACAGCAGCCAAAACATACAGAACACTCAGGACACAAATGACTTAAACTTGTGAAAATATGCTTAACTTCATTCTTAGTAAACTATTATGAGATGCCATGCTCATCTATCAAATTAGCAAAGATTAAAAAGTGGGTTAATAAGACATGGTGTTGAGGGCATAAAGAGACATTCTCATAGTGATGAAGTGTAAAATTATAAAATACATTCATGAGGCAAAACTTGTCAATATCTATCTAAAATTTTAAATGTTAATAATCCTAAGAACTGACATTTATTGAATGAATATGTGTTACACACTGTTCTAAGGACTGTATATGAATTCACTTAACTTACAAAGAATTTGTATTATTATTTCTATTTTAGAAATGAGGGAACTAATACACAGAAAGGTAAAATAACTTGCCMGAGGGCACACAGCTGGCAGAGTCCAGACTTTTTAAACCACTGGGATGAACTGTTTCCACGTAAAACTTAAAATACAGCAATTCTTTTTCTAGAAAAGTATCCTATAGATATGCTTTGTGTATAAGACTGCTAATTATGAAAAGATTGGAAATAATCTAAATAACCACCAACAGAGACTGATTGCATATGCTATATCTAGAATATGGGATATTGGCTATTATTACTTTCTGGAAAAGAATCAGTAAGTAATTTAAGTAGACCAATTTGGATGGGGGTGTAGTGCAAGAAAGAATCTGAGGGTCTGATGCTGACCAGGGTAGACATGGGGAGGAACACTCTCCAGAGAATGAACAGTCTGTGAGGCTCTGGCATGGAAAACAGGTTGGCACATTTGAGGAATTGGGGGACAGTGATAAAATGTTTAGTTGGAAAGACAGGCAGATAGGCTTATGTAGGGCTATGCAGGCCGTGTTACAACAGGGAGTTTTAAAACAAGCCTAGCAAGAAATCTCCTGTTTAAGAAAGAAAGTTGAGGGAGAATGTTGGTCTTAACATACGTGGGAAAAAGCCGTACGATCTAATAATAATATATTTTTTTCAAGATYCACAGAGACTAAGTTTTTACCTGACTAAATTGTAAAGAGTACTGAGCCTCTCTGAGGAGGAGGCATACAAACTTTATCCCCCTTGGCAGAGAACAGGAGGATGAAGTGTCACCATAACAGGGGGTAAGAAGAAAACAACTGACAGAGAAACTCAGTTTTTTAAAGCTTGACTATTGGACAGTGTGTCAGCTTTTCATCACTGTGACAAATACTTGAGGAAAACAACTTAAATCGTGAAGAATCTATTTTGGTTTCAGAGGTTTCAGGCCATAGTTGACTGGCTATAAGGAACATCATGGTGTGGCAGAGGAAAGTTGCTCAGTTCTTGGCTCCACAAAGCAGAAGGGAATGGGGCCTGGGGCAAACTACAGCCCTAAGGCACATTCCCACTGGCCAGCTTCCTCCATTATGCCCCTCCCCAACAGTTTGCACAACCTCCTAGTAGTCTATTAAGCCACCAATGGATTAATTAATTTACCTATGGGATCAGAGCCCTCATGATCCAATCACTTCCCCAAAGCCCTACCTGGGAACACTGTTGCACTGGGGACTAAGCCTTCAACATACAAGCTTTTGGGGCACATTCCAGATCCAAGCCATAACAGACAGCATTATAATTTAGTATCCCTGGAAGCCCTAAGACTTAGGGAGACTCTGCCCTCC